GAATAAGTGCACTTCTAGCCAGATCTGCTTTTTACCAAGTTAAATATGCCCTAGAAAGTTACACAGTTTACATAAATAAGAAAAATAAAACCATCGGCCACTCTGATTGATTACCCCTGCACTACAATAGCTAGATAAACTCTGACATCAGATTGCTTGGGTGTAAATCTCAGCCATGCTACTTACTGGCTGTTTAGGATCCCTTCTTGCTTATGAAAGGTGATACAGCTAAAACTGTACCTGGCTCATAGAGTTGTTTTGAGGAGCAAATAAGATAGTCCATGTAAAGCTTAGAACAAAGCCTTACCTATAAAGAAAGCGTGAAGCAAATATAAATTCTACATCCTATCAGACTGCTTTATATCTATATATTACATACATGTATGTTTCATAAAAATAAGATTAGCTTGAGCATGTTATTTCATAACTTGTTTTCACACAGTGTCTGCATATATGATAAATAATATTTAATAATTACATAATATCCCAGTGTTAAAACTTGATATTGGTCACTTAGATTATATTATAAACAATATGATATACATCCTTGAACATAAACCTTTATGTACACTTTTCATTGTTTTGTTAGGCCAAAGAGTTTTGTTTTTCTTTTTTAACCTCAATAGTAATTTTATTGCTCCAAATATTATCCTGAGTAGATACTTCTTCATAGTGATAATTCATTTCATCAAATTTAAATCCTACTGGTTATGGATACACCATTATTTTCTGACCATTAAGGAAGAAAAATCGCTGTCAGTTATACTAAGACATCCCACCAAGTGTGAGTAAAATGCCTATCAGTTTCAGAGATATTGAAATGGGGGTATTTTAGAATCGATGAACTACAAATACATCATCTAGTCTTTCCTCCACCTGATGGCGTTTTGGAATCAAACTGCCACATAGCCATAGGTAAGGGGCCGTGCAGCAGTGCAGTGACCTTTCTGAGGTCACTTAAGCAACAAACCCAGGGACACTTAATCCATCAAGCAGCAGGCTCCAGGCGGTCCGTTCCCAGATGGCCTCCTGTGCTCTGGCTTGGGCTTCAGCTGTCCATACCTCGAGTTCTTTTCAGGGGCGACATAGACTTCGAATCAACTTTGCAGCCATATCCCCCGTCCCTGCCTTTATCCCTCTCTTTTAGTTTAGTTTTTGTTTTTTTTTCAGTACCAGGGATCGAACTCGGGACCTTGCACTTGCGAGGCAGGTGATGGAACCACTGAGCTGAATCCCAGGCCCGCCTATCCCTCTCTTTTAAGAAAGCACTAATTAAAATAAGAAAGTAATTTTAAGAGAAAAGAAACAAAGGAGTTCATCAGTCATTTTCTTCTGCTTCAGCCATAGTCTCCAAAGATCCTCTTCCCTTGAGTGTCTCGTTTGAATTATTGTCTGCTTTGTTCTGTTTCAGGTACGAAATGAGCCCTGCAACATTTCCATCTCTGCAGAATACATTGCC